TTTTGTTAAAACTAGTTGTAGTTAATTTATTTGTATGGCTGGATTAAGGATTTGCGCTTATATTTTAGGTGAATTAATATAATCTATAGCTTCTAGCACTTGGTATGGAAAAGCCTACTTTGAAGGCAATTTGTAAAAGATTTCTTATAATTTGTGCTATTTTAGCTTGTTCTATGTTTATTGGACGGACTAATGTTGGGGCTGTAAATGCGATGGGTCCCTGCTAACTAGTATTGCGCTCCAGTTTAGTGGCCGTGGACCACTATTATTATTAATCTCCATAGCTTCTCCTCTAGATGGGGGACCTAAATTGCTTGTAACCTATAGCCCATCAATTATATATGACCAGGGGCTAAAAAAAGCCTTTAAGAAGTCCTTTTATACCATAATTGCTATTATTTTTATTTAACTATTAGCCTATTTAAGGATGGGTAAAAAGGTATTGCGCTATAGGTTAAGGAAATTATAAATAATGGGCTTGTCGCCTTGCCAATTTTTTGCCTTTGCATTTTAATTAAGATTTTAGTCTAGTTAATGTGGTAAAGGAGGCTTTGCTGTAAGCCTATAGCTAATTTTAGCTATATAAAAGCCGTATTATTATGCTTGGGCTTATAGCTAACAAATATACTAAAAGTTTATAGCAGCTATTAGGGTGGGTTTATTATGCTTGTCCTGCAAAATTGGCTTTTTTAATAAATATAAATAGTCCTTTAGTCCATTAAGAAAGAGCAGCATATAGGCTAATTCCATATTTAATAATATTAAGGGCTGGAAATTCCTATTAGAAACCTTTATATAAGGTCTTTCTAGCTAGGTCTAGTATATTTAGAGGGATTGGAAAAGCTTGACATTTTTATTTTCCTTATTTCTCTTTTAAGACTTATCCAAGTCATTAATGATATAACTTTATAAGATTTTAGCCCTAATAAAAAAGTATATTATATTTTAATAAAATGTTTTAAAGCTTAGAAAAATGGCGTTAAGAGATAGTAGCTTTTATTTAATAGTTTGTTGAATAGACGCGCTTTTTACGCCTTTGAAGGCTTCTCGTATATTTATTATAAGTCGGATATAATCTTCATTAAAACTATTTAAAGGAAGATGGTATTAAAAATAGCTAATAGTCTTAAAGTTTATATGTGGCACTATAAAAGCATTGCCTGCCACCCTTTAATAAATGTGCAATATGTGCTAAAGGTATTATATGGGAAATTTAAGGCATTTTAATGGGGTATATTTATACATATTACTAAGCTTAAATCCTCTCCTTGTACCCGGGAATTTAAAGACCTTGTATAGGGTGCCCATGAAATCTTTATACTTTAATACTCTATTCTTTTGCTAAAGTAGGAGGTTAAGGATTTTCCTTTTGCTCTTTGTTAGCTTTAACGCCCAATTTTTGCCTAGGTCCGGCTTTCTAAGCATGAGATGGAATATATACTAGCAAATTTTACTATTTAAATATTTTATTTAATAAAAAAACCTAGATATGTGGAAGTTGTGAAATAGCTTTATAAGCTATTAAAAACCTTTACCAAACTTTTGCTAAGTTGTTGCAATTTTTTGCCGCCTATTAATATAAATAATATGTTTTTAAAGCCGCATTTAAGGGTAATTGCCTATTTATACTATATTTTAGAATTTGTTTTTAGAAAGCCCCAAAGCTATTAAAAGACTGCTATATGTTGTGGCATTTATTTTCCTCTTGATATGGTATTTTTAAAGATTTGGCTAACATCCCTTCTTGCTAAAGATATTGGAGAGGTGCTTAATAATTGCTAGGTTTTTGTTTTTCCCCTTTTTGGGCGGGAATATAAAGGCATTTAATGGAACTTGGATGATCCCAATTATATTTTTATCTGCTATTATAGATTTTGTGAAAGATAAAGGTAGAGGAACTTTATGTGCTGTACTTGTATTTGCAATACTCTTGATTAAGTCTCGTCCTGGGTTTAGCCGTCACTATTTCCACGCGAGTCGGGCGGTGTGCGACCGCAAGAAGTACTGGCGGGGGCGCATCGACCAAACACTCCCCCTTCTCATCTGCTTACATCCCGGTTCCCCAGTCCTCGGTTTTGCTAGAGAACATGACGCGTGGCGCCTGGCACTGCTCCCTCAATGAGTCCCTCTTCGAGGATCCATTGTTACGCTAATCTGTTTCCATACCGTGCCAAGGTCTAAGTACCAGAATAGCAACCGACGCCGCCACAAAACCGGCCTGAGCTTGCTATATATAGTATCTGAATCCTAGGGCTCCTAAGCGAGATTTATTGCGTGCTGTCAAGTGGGTTTGAGACGTAAGCACAAGAACTAATTAATGCAATAACGATAGAGATCCGGCTGGACGTGGGGAGGTTTCGTCACTCAGGTTTACACGTAGTGATACTTGTCTAACTTGCGAGTTGCGCCGTTCCACTCTAATTCAGTGTAAAACTATGGCTTTGCATTACTGTATACCTTAATAAGCTGCGTACTATAAATATACTTGCTAGTCTGTGATCCTAAATCACGTTACGCCTACCTAGGTATGTACAACCCGAAAGCAGTATTCTATGCAAATCGCAAATAATGACCATAGGACTGCGATTAAACCCTATGTCTTAACTATAGTAACCATCCTAATAGCAGCAATATCGTCCTTCATTCAATGTTCTCATACAGTCCCCCCTAAAAAGTGTCTGCTAGGGAATAGCAGGACTAGCTGTAACACTGTATTTCTTCTAGTGTGGCCTCTTCTTCCACGTCTTTCGCGGGCTTCCACTTATAGGCGTGCCTGCTTCAGAACAGAGTGTGATCTCATCCCAATCTTTGGCCTCCCCCGAGGACACCCCATCTAAGTTATTTTTTCCCTTGTCCAAAACATCATCAGTTATGTTAAATTTGTTCATTCCTTTCTCGGAATCCTTGTTATTGGCAGCATGCAATAGCCTAGCACTCGGTCGGTATTGCATTTCAACGAATTCCACAGGCCGGTCCACTCTACGGCTGATAACAGCGTTGCGGACATAGGTGGAGAACTCGGGTTCGCCGCAGGCTATGATGTTTGTCAGCCGGGGCCAGCTCCTAGGAGAGGGAGACCTGCCTACAACCATACTCTTCCCTGACGTCGCATCCATCATACACTCCAGCAATGGGTGGTGGTCATCCTCTTCAAAACATATCCAATGGCTTGTTTCCCTAAATACCGGCGTCGCCTTCTGTGTGGGCGGGTATACGCACCATACCACGAATAGTTCCTTATTGTATCAGCACGGCCACCGTGGGTAGAGGAATCATGGTACTCACATTACCGGAGTCAAGCTTTTGCAATCGTTTCAGGTACTCAGACGCCCACTCTCCTTGTGAATTTCTGTCCAGGCTCCAGAAGATGTTTACCCTGCAGAGTACACTATCGTGTCGACATTCCCAGAGGGTCCGGGCGATAGAGAGGACACCCACGATCCCAGACCCATGTGCTACGAGCATCACGCTTTCGAATAATTTCAGATCCATATCTCGCCCGTATAGGCCGTCCATAAGCAGCCTCTCACCCTTTCTGAACCGCAGCGATCTGAGAGGGCCGCTGTGTAGGACTAGAAAGGTGACAGTACTTTTCGTTTTCTCGCTTTCCTTTTTTTCACTTTGCGTTTTCTCGAGGTCAGGCTCATACCATAGCGCCGCCATCGGATAGCTTGCTAGTGGGCTGTAGTGGAAGATCGAACCTGGCAGGAAGATATAGAAGTAGCTCCCGGGGAAATGGCGGAAGGAACGATGGCAAGAGACAGTAATGCGCGAGATTTCGGAATCGCCAGTCTCGTCAATTATGGTTGCAGCAGTTGCACAAAATAAAAGCCTGAGATATACGTAGCCAGTGCTCAGAACCCATAGACCTCCAGAAACTAGAACAATAACCCTAGGCTGCCAGCCTCTCTGGTTGAGGACGTGCCAGATAGTCGCACCAAGCATGGCGAGCGCGAGAACGAGGTGTATCATCGCGAAGGTTCGGACTAGGTACCGGCGTATGCAGTAAAAAGAGGTAAATAAAAGGGCAATAAGCAGCCCAACAGCCTGTAGTGGTCAGCTTCATCTTGAAAAGACGGCTGTCGACTTACACTATAGCCGGATATAGTAGTCTGATCCGGCCGCGACCGTCTAAAAGCCAGGGTGGCGTGTATAATGCCTTCAATAATGACCACTCTGCCGATAAAATGGTGAAAGGTATAATATGTTGATAGCGGAACCCCAATTAAGTCCGCGAAAGGGTTGGTGCGGGCCCCAAGGAACAGCAGTGTCGCGTTTATAATAGCCAGCATTGCTGCCACGGATTCAACGTTGGCTCTTTTCAGAACGAGGACTGCCGCATTGGCTCCAAGATACAACAAGAGGAACACGAATTCTAACCGAGTGATGCTCATCCAGTACCTCCTCGGTAGGACAAGGGGATACTGTACATTGCGGGCGAAGCGGTCAGTCCCGGGAATCAGCGAGAGCACAAAAGACGACAGTTTGTTGAGTATAGTATGGAAAAAAGAGTTGAGAAGGTAGAAGGCATGACGCAAACGAAGGCAGCTATGAGTGAAGCGCCGCTTGAGGTACCGCAAGAAGTATAAAACTGGGTAGAACAGTACGAAAGCGACAAAGACTGTTATAGTGTATACTTTAATAATAAGGTCCATTTCAAACACGGAGTAGACTAACGCTGGAGCCTGGAAAGTAATAGCGGCTCTCATTCACTCTTATTTGATAACTGTGTTCCCGAATAAATCTTTGTTGCTCGTCCCGAAACACCGGCCACACCGTGGGACTCCTGGTTCCGAGCCCCAGTTGCCCGTCTTCAAAGAGCGGTGTCCAGAAACAGGCTCCCGGTTCAGGGCAGCCCTAGCTCAGGATCCCGGGATATATGAGATGGCACTTGCATCGTCCAAGGTATATAAAGAAGCCCCATTTCAGCAGATGCACAAGGCTCTCTGAGCATCTCCAACAAGCTTTAGTATCTATTTACTCAGTTCACCGGCAACAAAATGTCGAATGATAACGGCACCCTTCTAGCCCGCCAGGTGCGGCGATTTATCGAAAAAGATCCAGCGTCTAAGTCTCTAGAGAACGTAGAAGAAGATGCAAAAAAGATTATTCTTAAGCTAGGAAACCCGAAGTATTTTGCCGACGAATCAGAGGAGTTTGAACCGTATCCTCTACAGTGGGCAGTGAAGAGATCATTTGAGTCAAAATACAAGATGCTCCAAAAGGAATACCCAAACCTGCCAGATCTTAAAACGAAGAAAGCCGCGGCCGATGAGGAAGCCAGAAAGAACGCCGCGGCTGATGAGGAAGCCAGAAAGAACGCCGAGGCCGCTGAGGAAGCCAGAAAGAACGCGGCTGAGGAAGCTAGGAAGAAAGCCGCGGCCGACGAGGAAGCCAGAAAGAACGCCGAGGCCGCTGAGGAAGCCAGAAAGAACGCGGCTGAGGAAGCTAGGAAGAAAGCCGCGGCCGACGAGGAAGCCAGAAAGAACGCCGAGGCCGCTGAGGAAGCCAGAAAGAACGCGGCTGAGGAAGCTAGGAAGAAAGCCGCGGCCGACGAGGAAGCCAGAAAGAACGCCGAGGCCGCTGAGGAAGCCAGAAAGAACGCGGCCGCCGACGAGGAAGCCAAGACAAGAGCCGCCCTCCTGGATCAGCTTAAATCTCTGGATTCTAAGCAGCTCGAAGGTCTTCTCAAGGATTTGGGAGTCCCCAGTGGCAGAGGCTCTAGGGAGACAACGGTTGACACCACTAGCAGCTGGAACACAAGAGAGTCTAGCGTTGTTACTACAAGTTCTGGGCCCGAATATTGGCCGAAGGTCAGAGACAAGTTCGGCGAAGATACAGACTACTGGTTAAACAAACTATCAGAGACCTCTCAGGAGAACGACTGCGACTTCGTAATTGTCAAGTTTTACCTCGAATACCTTTTAAGGAAAGACGCCGACCGTAGCGTTGACGACTTGGGGGACGATGCCTTCCTATTTATCGACAGCGGCCCTGAAACGCTAACGGGATGGGTGAAAGACCTACGTGAAGAGGACCCACAACTCTATCAGGACTACAATAGATATCACGCATCTTCGCGGATCTCGGGCGAGAGAAAAGAGAGGCGGCCGTGGGCTAGGAATCCACAAGCATACCGAGACCGCGCCCTTGCACATTTACCGCCAGAAACCGACAAGAACTGGGACAAAATAACTATTGCAATTGATCCTGATACGAAAAAAAGGGATGTCAAGGGAAGAATCACGGCCTCTATTAAACAACAATATTTGGATGTCTGCCTCCCTAGTCTTCGTGACAACGATGAGGAACGACACATCCTGGTAAAAAGAAAGGAGTATCTAAAGGATGCTCAACGTTTTGAGGGGACTTTAAGCGGCCGAGTCTTGACAATATCGACATCAGACAGGAGTCTTCTCAAAGGGCGCCCCAAGTCTGACATCAAAATTCTGAACTACACTGTTGCCGAGCAACCCTACATGAGTTCATATCTTAGAGTGTTCTTTGTTGGGATAGACAAGAAGCAGAAAAGTGTTATCCGTGCATGGACCAAGACCGAGTTTTGTTGCTACGCGAAATTCCAATCAGGGATTTTCGACGTCAATGAACAAAGGAAAGCTTGCGGGCAAAAAGAGCTGTTCAGAGTACCTAAAGTAGATGTGCCATGGCCTCAAGAGGCCTCTGATTTAAATTCTGGGCCGGAATCCCCCTTTGCTTCCAACGTTGAATTATAAAGGCTGGGGTTGGAGTTAAAGTTGATACCCCTGTAGGTGCAGGGGCTGCTCGAGGCATCGGGGCACATAGGCAGGACCTGGTGGTCTGAACACAATTTTTACCTAAATAACGTCTATCCTTGCATGGCGGAAAACCCTTTATGCTAGAAAATATGGCAGGTACTTTAATTTTAGATATATTAAAAACTCTATACTTATTAATGTCTCCTAAATTTTTATATTAATTGTATTTTCTAGCTAATATTAAGCATTCTAAGCCCCTTCTACTAAAATCCTACCTTAATGCTACCATTTTTATGCCTAATTTATATAATGTCTTTATTTAAAGCAATAAAAAATTCTTTTAATATGCTTTTACTATTAAGCTTTTATTATTCCTAATACTTATAAAAGGATTATATTTAAGCTATAAAACCTTGCTATTATGCCAGTAATTAATATAAACCTTATAGCTATTATGGTGTTTAAATTTTTAAATTAATGCCATGTAGCTTAGTATTTTGGATTAAAGCGAGTACCAATTTTGGTTAATGTAAATTGAATTTATAAATGGCTTTTCGTAGCTGATTTGGAGTGTGGCTGGTGGCAAGATTTATGGTTATATGACTTTTGCTGCTGGCTGCTGCCTTAGGTATTAAGATGGCCCTGGCGGTTGGACTGGCGCTTGACCAGTGGCTTGTGCGCAGCTCGCGCCGGCTAGCGGGACGCCAGCAAACCCTCTAACCAGCGCTTCGCCGAAGGAGACCGATAAAATGCCTTGCAGCAAGCCTAGCCATCTGATAGGTCATGAACCAGAGCTGCAGGCCGTCTGCGTACCTCCTCATGGACGCTTTTGGGGCTGTGCGAGTCTGCCGCCCCGCCTTGCGGCCTCGTCAGACTCCAGATTCTTGACGGGCGTCTTGATCTCGCTATTCACCCTCATCGGCGACTGCTGACGTTAACCTTTCTCTTCGTATACAATACCGCCGCAATGGAGGTGTTGGGAGGAGTGGCGAGCGCTATCGCAGTAATCGAGCTCGCCGCAAAAGTGGGCGCCCTCTGCGTTCAGTACTCTCTCGCCGTCAAGGGGGCCAAGGACGACATCGAACGCTTGCGGCAGCAAATAGACGCCTTGAAGACGATCGCCGAAGATGCACAGCAGCTTCTGCAAGGCCCAGGTGGACGTGCCCGCCCGCAGGCTCAGCCACACCAGGCTAAAGGCAAGTATAATAACAGTGCCCCAGCGCGCCCGATTTTCTGCATTCTTTTCTTCCTCTTTAAATAACACAGTGCGACCAAGTTGCTGATTTACCTAGGCTGATTTGATAAGGTACATGTTCACAATTTCGGACCAATGCTAGTGTCTGGCCACTTTAATAACACCGTGCATAAAAGATTTGTGTAATAAATTTGTTAATGGGGCTCTAACAATTCAATTTATTAACAAAATCTTGCACGCGCTATTATTAAATTTTGTTGAAGGTCGGCCATTCGATTGACTGGGCCACTTGATTATAAACCACGTTATGTAGAATTTGGCGGATATGCTAACAATCCCCAGATTAGATTGTTCCCCTTACTATGATATATTTTTTTGTTTTTATGTCTTTGTCCTTTTACTGGTCCTAGTGGGTGCAGTAAATTTATGTTTTATGGATTGAGCTGGGTGAATGTTCTAGAATCTTTAAAGTTGGTACTGACATTGGTGTTGCGTATCTCCTCCGTTGGGATCTGTTAACCCGCCAGCGGAATTTTGGTGGTGGGGCTAACGAAATGAGGCTGGCCTGTTTTCGCTTCTTGGAGTATCACGGAACGGCTACGAATCAGCTGGCAAAATCGTCAGGCCCACCTCAAAGATCTTTGATCTCACAGAGCCGCACTGCAAGGCACATTCCAGGGGTAGCGTTCTATGACTCGGCCGCCGGAAGGAGCCGAGAGGGAAAGGCGCCCGTCAGCGATGGCGTACTTCCTTCAGGCGTGTAGACAGTGCCACTGTTCTGGAACAGAGTCGGCAGGATTCTATGCAGCTGTATTTAATATGCGCTTAAATAAACAATAGCTAAAATCCCAGCGACACCCATTTCGCCTCGTACGGTCTTCAATATTTGTGAACATCATCCAGCCATTCTTTGATCATGCTCATGAACGGGGAGGCAATGCCCTCGAAGAACCCATTTGCCACCAATATCTCAGCACCAGCTCTCTGCTCAGTGTAAGGCATTGGTCTATCTATCCCAGGGGTTAAGACAGAAATAAAGTTTAGGCTATATAAATAGGTAATTTATTGCTAGGCTAAGGGTCCTTTAACCTGCCTAAGGCGGTTATGTGAGCAGTATCGATGGTCTGTATGGGGCGTCTTTTTATATTAATAAAAATGAATGGCATCACTTTTAAGCCGATTACAGTAACATTTTTTTGTATTTTTATTACATTTTATATTTTCTTTTTTTTAAAAAAAAAAGGAGCTATAGACTGTTCCTTTACATAGTCCTGAACGCTTAAAGACCTTGTATTTGAAAATAAATACAATATTAATAGCAATAAAATTCAGAGTGTAATAAAGTTGATAAAATAGCGATAACCTTGTGATCAGGCTATTTGAGATCGGCTTAAGCTACGCATGGACAGAAACCGGCAAACAGTCAAAACGGCGAGAAGCAAGCTGGTCTCTCGTTTGTAAAGATACTATCAACGAAGCCCTCCCCGGGCTTCCATAGAAATTGCTAGAAGGATGTATAAGATGGGGATGTGTGGTTTAAACGTGACGGTACGAAGGAATTAAAGTTCGTGACCCCAGGGTAGCTGGAGTGAGTTGATTGGCAGTCTCTGTCCTTCCTTCTGGACACATGGCCTGCGACGACGCCCATGATGACGTCTTCAGTTACTCAGGTAAAGACATCCTTAGGTACCTAAGTTACCTTTCACAAACCAAATGGATCATAGACGACGAGTATATATATTCTGTGTCTTCCCCGCGAACCCCACACTGCGCGTCCTGCAACCCCCTCAACTCGTTTTCTTCTCAACAAGTATCTCCCATAACCTGGAAATTCATTTCTCAAATCTGTGTATTGACTCATCTCGTCCTCACGAGTCGACTAGAAAAGTCACCAACATTGGCTTTGGCAGCAATGGATAAGGCGGCCAAGCTTGAGTTTGCCCAGGAGATTCTGGGATATGAATTTAAGGATCCCAGCCTGCTATGGGAAGCTCTCCAGGCCCCTGGTTCTGGGGTTGTGTCCCATGCGGGCCATATGTATACAAACGAGGGCCACAAGCCTCTAGCCGGAATCGAGGATACCCTATTATCCCTATACATCAAGAACCAGGCCCGCATCCGGGGTCAAACTATCGGCAAGTATCACCTGGGCTTCGCACACATGCGCTTAATGTACGCGGCGGCTAAACACATTACAGGAGTCGCTACCAACAACCTCAAGGCTATGGCCAACAACCATCATCTGGCGGAAATCTGTGATGTTAATAAGCTCACAAGATGCATCAACGGCAACCCCGCACAACAGGGTACCATCTCCCCAAAAACCAAGAGCGACACGGTTAAAGCTGTTCTGGGTGCCATTTACAAGGACGCGAACAACGATATGGCGCCCATCAAGGCCGTCATGCTTAGATTGGGCATCACCATGGTAACTTTATACACCTCCCCTGTCCACCCCGGTGTCGAAATGAGTGTACACTGACTACCTGTGTGGATAACATACGATAGTTCTCGAGCAGCCGGCGTGGGGCATCCCAGGGACCCTCCCGCGAGGGCCCCCTCGTAGCCCCATGGGTCCCGCGTCTCTCCGAGCGTTGGCATATGATCTTGAAACAAACCGCAATCAGGGCCTGCGTCTGAAAGTGGCTGTTCACACCTTAGCCTGCTTTTTGAGAGGATTGCCCGCTGTCCGCAGGGTACGCGGGACGCATGGAAGCTGCGGAGGGGCCCTGGTGGGGGGGACCTTGGGATGCCTGAGGCCGGCTGTCATTCCCGAAGATGGCGGATCCATCACGCAGCCACTGGACGCCATCGTGTCGGGTCTGGTGAAAAGTCATGCGCTTTTGGTGGCGACGCTTCAGACTCGCAATCCTGAGCACACGATCTGATTCGTGTTGAATAGGACGCTGGCTGCCCGGCTGGTGGCATTTGAGCCGGCTTCGCGGGGGAGACGTGTAGACGGGCTGAAGGACGGCTGAGATTCCTTTGCGGGCAAACCTGTGAGGAGGAAATGGGTGGAAATTGGTTTTTGTCGTTGCATTTGAGTTTCAACCCTCGCCTTGTTCATATTCATCCATCCAACATGGGGTAAGGTTTTTGCAAAGAGATGGGAATCTGTTTTGGTTATTGCACTTGAGGCTCAACCCTCACGTTGTTCACATTCACCCATTCAACATGGATGCCGAGACGGGATGCCATGGAGGATTTAATACCAGAAGTGCGTCACGAGTCCCACCTTGTTCCGAGACCTGCCACACACGACCGGCAATACTCATCGTCTTGCATCACATGTTTGGCAGACTAAGAATGAATTTTGAGGTATCGAGTGCGTCCTACAAGGGTCTCTCTCATCTTCCAATAACACATTACATTAATCTTCTCAGCCCTGTTATTTCTTCAAAACCAATCAGACTCCCCGTTTGACACCCTTCCCCTTGGGAACCCTAAAGACCCAATACAACGCGCAGGCCAAGTCAATTTTGGCCGCGACATATACCCAGAGCAGGCCAAAGTTCCTCCAGCGGTCGGCATAGTAGATGCCAAAGCGCGCCAGGAAGTCGTCGGTGGTAGCCAGGGGGCAAAAGGTACAGCTGCCCGTGGCACCCGGGTCCAAGACGGTACCACCGTCGGCGGCTTTTTAGGTGCTTTTTATAAAAGAAGGCTTTAACTTACGTTAAAATTTAGCTAGCCACATAAGCTAGCAGATATATATAAAAGTTCTAGAACCTTCCATGGAGAATAAATATAATAAAAGAAATAATATAAATTACACTTCTCCCCGTCGACCCATTAAGAGAAAGCTAAAGAACTAATAAAAGAACTTCATAAAAGCTAGAATAAGGAAATAGGATATTTGGTTGATGAAAACTGGATACTCCAGACCCGACCCGATTGACACCCAATACAAACTGTTTCCTGAAAGATATTATAGGACTTTGCCCGGAATACTTAAGGTAGCCAGAGTACGTTTTCGCCTTTCCACGTAATCTATAGACCATTAGAACTAAGGCCGTAACCAAGTTCGTTGTAATGCAAGAGAGGAGCTGCGTTTACAGACGGGGTTATAGCTGCAATATCTAATAAGTCTTTGAACAAAATTACTCCCAGGTCTATATAAAGTTGTAAACTAAGAGGTTCAAAGTTCAATCTAAAGATTGTTCTGCTAACTTTAAGCGTAGTTATATAATTGCCGCCCTTAGCATTTTAAACCTTAATAGTTTTATTATATAAGCTGGAAGTAATATATTAGCTATTTGCTAAAAAGGCTATAAACTTAACCAAATAGCTATAGCCTTTAAGTATAACTAAATAATTACCGCCCTTAATATTTTAAACCTTAATAGTTTTATTATTTAAATTAAAGATAATATACTAGCCATTTATTAAAAAGGCCATAAAATTAATTTAGCTGTTATAACCTTTAAATATAATTAAATAATTACTACTTTTAGTATTTTAAATTTTACTAGTTTTATTATTTAAGCTAAAAGCAATATACTAGCTATTTATTAAAAAGGCTATAAATTTAATTAAATAGCTATAACCTTTAAATATAATTAAATAATTACTACCTTTAGTATTTTAAATTTTAATAGTTTTATTATTTAAGTTAAAGGTAATATATTAGCTATTTATTAAAAAGGTTATAAATCTAACTTAAATACTATAACCTTTAAGTATAACTAAATAGTTGCCCTTTTTAGCATTTTAAATTTTAATAGTTTTATTAATTAAATTAAAAGTAATATACTAGCTATTTATTAAAAAGGCTATAAAATTAATCTAGCTACTATAGCCTTTAAGTATAACCAAATAGTTATTGCCCTTAATATTTTAAACCTTGCTAGTCTTATTATTTAAGCTAAAAATAATATATTAGCTATTTATTAAAAAAACTATAAAATTAATTTAACTATTATAGCCTTTAAGTATAATTAAATAATTGCTGCCCTTAATATTCTAGATTTTAATTATTTTATTATTTAAGCTAAAAATAATATGCCAGCCATTTATTAAAAAGGCTATAAAATTAACCTAGCTATTATAGCCTTTAAGTATAATTAAATAATTACTGCCTTTAATATTTTAAACCTTAATAGTTTTATTATTTAAGTTAAAGGTAATATATTAGCTATTTATTAAAAAGGTTATAAACTTAACCTAGCTATTATAGCCTTTAAATATAATTAAATAATTGCCCCCCTTAGTATTTTAAACCTTAATTATTTTATTATTTAAACTAAAAATAATATACTAGCCATTTATTAAAAAGGCTATAAATTTAATTTAACTATTATAGCCTTTAAGCATAACTAAATAGTTACTATCTTTAATATTCTAAACCTTAATAGTTTTATTAATTAAGTTAGAAGTAATATGCTAGCTATTTACTAAAAAGGCTATGGAATTAACTAGCCTGCTATAGCCTTAACCTTTGAGTGTAACTAAATAATTGCCACCCTTAGCATTCCAAACCTTAATGGTCTTATTAACTAAACTAGAGGCAATATACTGGCCGTCTGCTAAGAAAGCTACGGAATTAACCCAATTGCTATGGCCTTTAAGTATTGTTAGGCAGGCATTCCAATCCTCTTCTACCTGAGGCTTGCAAACAATCCAGCCTAGGTCTTCGCCTTAAAAAATATTTCTAGTTAAGCTGTTACTCGGGCTAAATATAAGTGCTAATAAATATATCTAAAAAGGAGCCTTTTTAATTATAGCTTTATAAGAGCAAGCAAATCAATATATATTATAAGCTATAATAATAAGTTTAAACTATAGTACTAATTTCTTAATTAATTAATATATAGCTTTTCTTTTATAAAATATATAAATTTACTTATAGCAAAAATAAGATCCTAAATAGCGCAAATATACATTAAAAAGTATTTTCAAAAATACTCAAAGCTTTAAACTAGTAAAGAAAATACTTCCTTAAAAAGATTTCAATTATAGCATTTACAGGCACTATTTAGGTTTTATAAAAATATTAATACCAGTAAATACAAGCATATTAAATTAATACAAATAAATCAAGAATTAGGCATTAGCATTTAACTTTTTTAATTAAAATACTAAAATATTACAAGCCATATATATCTTTATAAAAAATTTTTAATATAGCTATAATAAACCTTATTAAAATAGTCTAATATTCAACTTCTTACCCATTAAGAAAGATAGCCTATAGTTCTTCCTTAATAAGGAAATCCTTTACAAATTAATACATAAAAAAAACTATTTAATCCCATAATAATAAAAAGAAGCTACAAATCCCTATAATTTTTAATAGTACTTTATTCTTACTAATAGCCCTAAAAGGAATTTCAACTAAAGAAGGCAACTTATTAAAAATAATAAATTAATATATAACTAAAAGAGTTACTAGGATTAACTTACAAAGCTAATAATACCTTAAAATATTAATTTGGCCCATCATTTTCCTATAAAGACTATCCAATCTAGGGGGAAATATGGCCAGAGTCTCCTTATTTACCTCCCAAGCTGACATTATTGCAAGTTCCTAGCAGACCAAAGCCACCCACAGGAACGTACCACCCGCGTTACTTATCAAGTAGCTTTGAATAATGTCCTGCATATCGAAGTCGAAAGCATTATCCTTCGCCAAGGTCTCCATTTTGAATTGAATATAGGTAGCCACAGCCGTAGAAACAAACTCTCCATTTAATTCAAGGGAGAGACCAAAGTTTTGCGTTTTGCTGAAGGCTTTTTCGATATCCGGCCAGTTGCGACTAGACACAACCCATTTGACTTGGAAATCAGTAGTTGATGTCTGGATGATAAAACGAACAAGATCATCCAGGCCCGTAATACATTCATCTAGCGCATCAACGACCAAGTATGTCGTCCTGAGACCTGGATCCTGGAGAATGTCTTTAAAGATGGCTGACAAAGCAAACCAGGCATTTGCATCCTCAAAGAGCGGCCTGCCAGCTTGGTCGTATTTGTCCCGGATGTAGCGTATAAGCGATGGCTGCTGGTCGATAAGTAGAAAGACCAGACCACGCAGTACCGCTATCGCATTGTTGATGCGTGTATCCGTAGCTTGGCAAAAGAAGTAGGTGATGTTTGTGGCCGGCGGTTTCTCCAGTTCGTTGATAACCCCACATAGCAACATTGTCTTCCCTTTTCCGGGATCGCCTCTCACCCAAAGCAGCTGATCCTGGCCATTTTGCCAATGCTGGAAGTCGTTATTCTCCAGGATCCACTTGTAACAATCTTGTAGCAGACCTCCCTTTGTCTGCTCGATGCGCTGCTTATCGTCGCGGGGATCAGTTGCTCGCAAGTCTCCAAGGCATTGCTGGTTTCCTAGCAGGATTATATTTTTATTAGTCTTTTCCTCCCTCCTTTTTTTCCCAAAAAGGGAAAATTATAACTAAGAAAGAAATACTTAACATACTTCTGATTTCTTCCTTGAGCCGGAAAATTGCCTGTGCCTTGCCCTCGCCGTAGGTAACTGGCATCGAAACGCCAAATATACCTTGGAGACAGTATGCCCAGTCTTCTTCGCGCTTGGTCTCCCGTGTGTTTGCCCATTCAAAGCGGTCCTTGATACTAAAATGAGCAAGGCTGCTTCCCTGAAGGGCGGGAACGGCGATCCCCGTGATCCTGTGTATTTGTTTCTCGAGGGATCTTTTATCACCGAGTCGCTGGCCCTCCTCTGAGAAGAACTCCACAGATGCAGGTGCTAACAGCTCTTGGAGTGTCCACCCTCGAGTGAACCATCGGCTTGCCCGGAAATTCGCCTCTAATATGTGCTCACGCTGTTGGTTGTACTCTTCGCAGCCAGACATTGGGACATCTGACAGGTATACGTAGCATCGAGTCGAATTTTGGTACCAGCGGAACATAGAGTTGATGGCCTTAGATAGCTCGGCGTTGTCTGACTTATCGATGCAGCAAGTATCCACCCAGAAGTATTGCAGGCCATCACGCTTTGATTGGGTTGCACAGAACTCGATCTTGCCGAAGCCAGGTTTGTCCCTCCCAGTACCATCAAGTAAGTCTTGAAAAGTGACCTCCTCATTATCAGAGCCCCATGTATGTGATAGTATGGCATATCTGGGTATATCCGGGCCCGGGTATTCCTTCAGCTTAAATTCCTCTCTATATTTGTATAAGAGTCGCATTGTTTCAGGCAGGGTCTGTGGTCGTATCAGGTGCGTTGTTAGGTCGGTTCGGGTGTGTAGACAGACCTGGTGGGGTTAGGATCAGAAGCAGGAATCTATACTGATGGAACTCGTCAGCAGTACTATACTAACACGAGGACATCAATGTAAGTATTGATAGATTCAGCGATGCGATGAAGAAGTTGAAAGAATAATTTGGAGGCTGGAAACGTTGCAACGTGATAATGACGTATAGCCAAGGAGCGGGGGCTTATGTAACACGCAGTATGCAGTCAGTAGCACAGCCCGCAGCCCTCTGGTCGTAGTAGGCGGCCCTCGCATCAACACCATAGGCAAGACGGCCTAGGTTGAGATTGATCAGCTCGCGTCGGCGTCAAGCGACAACACCGTCAAGCTCTGGGACACGGCCATGGGGCAGTGCGTGGCGACGGCCGCCAGCTTGCGTCGGCGTCCGATGACAATACCGTTAAGCTCTGGGACGCGGCCACGGGGCAGTGCGTGGCGACGCTCGAGGGGCATAGCGGCCCTGTCAACTCGGTCGCGTTCTCGGGCGACGGCCGCCAGCTTGCGTCAGCATTCGACGATAATACTGTCAAGCTCTGGGACGCGGCTACGGGGCAGTGCCTACAGACCTTTGACGTCGGTAGAGCACTCGCTACTATCTCATTCGATGCGACGGGCTCATACCTCTACACAGATGCTGGCAGGATCTTGCTTGGCAAACCATCAGCTACGAGTCCCACGTCGATCCAGGCCTCTTCACAGCAGCCTCCTGTGCAAGGCTACGGCGTCAGTGCTGATAATGCATGGATCACCTGGAGCGGGCAGAATCTGCTGTGGCTACCGTCGGAGTACCGACCATATGCGTCGGCAGTAGCCGGGTCTACAGTTGCTCTCGGCTGTGCTTCAGGCCGAGTGCTAATACTTCGGTTCTTGGGAGAGGACAATGTCTTCGGGGATAGAGGAGGGATTTAGACAGATTTTTTTGCATTTCTTTCCATATCTCCGCCCTTATACGGGCCATAGGGGACTGTAGATATTTATACCGTAGAATGCACTTAATAAAAGTTCCAGAACTGTCTTGCTTATTACTGTAGTATCCCTTTTACCGACGCTAACTTCGCGGGCGGTAAGTACGGCGGCCGCTGCAGCGGCGTGCTGCAGTAACAGCTCGATATGGAGAATCCACCAGTCCGCGTCGCTCATATGCCGCTTACTAAGGCTTCTCGCCTCATCGCAAACCCTGCCTTCAGGGGCTAAGCCTCGGCACCATCGCAACCGCCGTCCTCCAAGGAAATACGTGGACGTGGATTAGATCGCTTTTTATCAGTCTCAAAACGCGCAGAAGCATTTTGGTATCGGATTTAGCTTTCAGTATTCTCTATTTCAATTCAAGCTTCGTTCCTCAGAGTTCCCTTAGGCGGGCCGCTTGCGGTTCACGTCTCCTCTTGATGCCTGAGGCCATCAAGCGGTGGAGGTCACATGACTGTAGACCTTGGCACTAGCCACACTCCAAATCAGCCATAGAGAGAGCCATTAGTAAATTTAGTTTACACTAACCAAAATCATTACTTACTTTAATCTAAAGTATTAATTTACATAGCAGTTTTATAAATACCTAAACACCACAATAGCCATAAGGCTTAAAATAAACTCCTAATATTATATTAAAGTTTTAAAGCTTAAATATAACCCTTATATAAATATTTAAAATAATATAAACTTAATAATAAAAGCTTATTAAAAGAACTTTCTTTTACTATTAATAAAGACATTTTATAAATTAAATATAAAAATAATAATATTAAGGTAATTTTTAAGTAAAAGGGGCTTAAAATACTTAATAATAACTAAAAAATACAAATTACATAAAATTTTAGAATATATAAATATATATGGAGTTTATAACCAGTCTAAAGTTAAAGTACCTATCACTTTTTCCGGCATAGAGGGTTTTCCGCCACGCAAGGATAGACGTTAGCACATTCGTTCTTAATAACATTAAAGGCAGGAAATCGAATTTCAAACAAAATTCAGTAGTATTTTCCCTTATAGTCTGCAATGGTTCTAAATTATTCAAGTAAATTCCAGAAAATAATGGTATCTGGTCGCCTAATACGGAGCAACGATCGCCTCCCAAGCCCTGGCGTACTTCTCTAAGGTCTTCGTAGAAACTTAACCGGCTTTCTTCAGCGTGGGAGACATTTGTTGAGCATCAGAGGTATCCAGTACCACTCCGCCAGTCGCCATATTTTGGAACTGGTTTTGGAAAAAGTCCATTAGCAAATCTCCGCATAGTTTGGGACTCTCAGATAAGTGGCGCCCCGCGAGCTCAAGCCATTCGTCAAAGTCGACGAGGAAAGACGATGGACCCAGCTCCGTAGCGATCCACCCCATAACCGTCTTCCAATTCTGACGAACAGGATTCTCAACGTGATAAATCAACTGGGTCGGCCTTGGTGATAAGAGTATCTCGGATAGTACGGTACCGGCCGTGTTAACTGGCAACCAGGACAGAGTATGTTTTTATATTAGCATAATCACACCACAGCCCGAAAGCAGGGACCTTACCCCGTGCAGCCGTGGGAAGGCTTGTATTTTCTGTGATAATTTGATCATCAGGGGAAAGTGCTCTTTCTCGTTCCAATATCCGTTCGTTTCAGCGCCCGAGAGCTGACCGATTCGGACGCAGCTGACTTCCATCTCCGAAGGCCAGGTATCCGCTGCGTTGGCGAGGATATGCTCACATACTAGCTTGGCCCTGCTGTACCCGAGGTTGATGGAACATCGATTGTCTGTGACCCTACGCTCTGGGACCGTCTTGGTTTGGTGAAACTTTTCGTAGTTGCCCACGACTGCGATAGATGATGTGAATAGTACTCGAGGTCTGGTTGATGGCCTGGTCCTGTGGATATGTCTAGCTAGCTGGAGGAGCCCTTGAAGTAGCGCAAACTGGCCTTCGAACGACTCCAGAGGCATTTGAAAATTCATAGGCCAGGCGGCGTGCAAGACGTGGGTGACGCTGCTGCAAAGAGTCTTGTAGTCTTCATCGGATAGGCCAAGCGTTTCTCCCACTGGGTCAACCTCCTGGTTAATCTCTACTAGTGCGATCTTGGACCAGAGATGGGGTGCGATAGTCGCTCCACTGCGTTCTATTGCCTCGATCTGCCCGCAGAACAAGTGTTCGCTCTGTTTGGGTTTCGAGCGGACAATGCATATAACCCGAGCAACTTCGGGTCGGGCTACCAGGTAGGACAGGATCCATGAGCCAAGGCTGCCTGTGCTCCCGGTGAGCAAAATGACATGATCGCCATTATCCCTCAACGGACCAAATCGCTGAACGTATGCTTTTATCTTGAGATCCTCGTCGTCGAAATTGTCTGAGGCTTGCTGCTGTGTCCGCAGAGCGCGAGCTAGACCCTTGATAGTCGTATTTCTATAGACTAGGTCCGTTGTGATCTGGCTACTGGGTAGTAGATCCGGACTTGTCCCTAGTCTTCTGATGAGAGAGTTCCGTATGAGCGTTGCTTGCATTGAATTGATGCCCCATGGCGCGAAATCATCGTCGAGGTTCAATTCGGACCCGTTCCCCAGTTCTGACCGAATAATCTCGCGCACCGTATTCTCGAGTGAGTCTTCCACGAGCTTAAAGATAGGCTGGATCTCGGTGTCAAGTTGTGTGCCGGCATACGCTTTCTGGATTTGTTTTTCAAAGCAGCGATACGCCTCTCTCCTCAAAACCGACCCTTTGTCAGATCTTGGTAGGCTCTGGCCCGATCCTAGGATCACAACTCTCTCCAACGAGGATAATCGAGAATGGTCGTCCATCTGGTGACACGCCCTTTGTATCGCAGGCCACAGCGCCGTCCTCAAGTTCTGAATATCCTCTGCAGGCCGAGCTGGTTCGATAAGCACACCAATCTCAGATTTACCTTCTCCAAAAACCAGTGCGGCGTTAACGAGATCGATTCGGCACATGATAGATTCAAGGATCGTCGGTTGGACTTTGTACCCATTGGCGAGGACAATAAGGTCGTCTTGTCGGGTCACAGCCTCATATACCGCCGAGCATCCGTCCTTTGCGAACAAGTCCTTAAGAGTGACTGGCTCGTCCCAGCCAAACGGCTTCACCGAGAACTGGTAGTACTGTCTCTCACCAGGAGGCCCTACAGCCGCAGAGTCAACCGCCTTCACCTCAATGTCGAGGTCACTTCTCAGGGGCCAGTAGCGCCAGCTGAAACCACTAAGTGGAACCATGAAAGGACTCAAGGGGCCAGTCTCAGTCGACCCAAAGTGACTGAGCAGCTTTATGCCTTGCTTGCTCAACTGGTCTCCCACTCCATGGTCTAGAGGGCCTCCGCCGTGTGCAACATATTGCAAGGACAGAAGTGGCGCAACCCCTTCGTTCGTAGGTAATTTCAAAATCCCTTCCAGAATAACTGGGACAGTTGTTAACGACTTTGGTTTGTGTCTCTGAATCAGTTCCACTGTCAAAAGGGCTGTCGGTATTCTGTTAGATGGAGGCAACAGTATTGGTTTGCCGATACCGAGCGCCAAGCAGGCAACGGCTAACCCGAAGCCCTATCACCACACATTTAGCATACGCTAGATAAAAAGACACCTGAAAAAAAAAAAGGAACGTACGTGGTACAGCGGGAGCATTTCCAGGTTCAGGCCCTGGACATCCTCTCCCTCTGTTCGGCGGTGGCAAGAAGCATATCCGAGCAACATCTTGTGCGATTGGTAAACTAGACTCGGCAGACCTGTCGTTCCAGAAGTGTGTAGAATGAGGACGTTGCGGTGGTCAAAATAACGACTCAGCTCGCAAATGTTGATATTGGCCGGGATAACATCGTCATTTCCTTGACTTGTCAGGAAGGTCTCAAAGTCGGCAGCAGCCAGTATCTTAGAAGCGCCCATTCCATATACCAAGCTTGTCGTTTCAAAAGCATGCTCGACTTTACTGGTCAGCATTGGTGACGTTACCACCGCCTGTGCCTTAATGACTGTGAGAATGTGTTGGATTGAGACTGGGCTGAGGCGGATCGATACCAATGCAACAGGGACGCCTAGGGCTAGAAGAGAGAATAGGTAGACTAGGAGGCTCATGTCGCTATGCATGAACAGGGCAACAGGATACGGTCTCGCAGGAGTTATCTCGGAGGCTTCTTCGTCGTCACTCGCGTTGTTCTCTGTAGCGTCTATGCCGATTAAGCTGGCTCTTAGTTCTCTGGTGCATCGCCATATTGCAGTGCGCAATTCTCGCATATTGACGTGCGTAGCGTCTCGAGATTGACTTGATATAGGATCATGAGCCTGGACGCAGAAACAAGCATCAGGATTGACTCTTGCGTTGTGGTCGATAAGCTCCAGGATTGTGCGTATGGAGCCAGAAGCGCCGGGCTGTTTCAGGTTGATGGTGGCTGCCTGGAACGGAGGCTTCTGCGGCGAAGATCTCTCATCCTCGCCAGTGGCAGTACGGTCCATTTTATGAGCTGGCCCGCAAGCCGACGCTGAAGGTGACGAAAAGTGATCTGTGCCATCAGGTTTCAGAATCAACACGCTCAAATGGCAGTCTAACAAGCACGGCATACCTTTAACCTTGCGTGTGTCTTTAACCATGTTTGCACCGCAGGGCGGGGTGGGTTAACTTGTGCATTCAACCTATAAGTTAAAAGCGGGGATAAAGGGCGAAGGATATTTGTTTGGCTTCTTGTTTATGCTGCGGGAAATTGGGTGTACATAAAGGAGTGAGATTCGCTCGCCCAAAGACGGCAGCTTCCACACTTTATATATTATTTAAACTTAGCTGCTGATACAATTAGCTGAAGCAGTTACAGTAAGGTCTTATAATTGGATAGTGAACGAACTGTATATATCCTGGGCTGCATTATTAATTCTTAGAAATCCAATCACTGGTTCATCCAATCGCCTGTATTGATAAGCTAGTCGCCTTGGCGGTTTACGCGCGGCTTGAAGGCGGTCTCGACTACTCTCGACGAGACTATTAAGAACGAACAAGCTAGTCCACCTAAATATGGAGCTCCAACCTGGTGCCCAGCAGTGCTAGGAC